TTTTCGAAGAGTATTTTACACAGATGTTGGATCTTATTCCTCCGGGGTCTGTAATTGTCATGGATAATGCCAGTTACCATTCACGGCAGACCGAGCGGACGCCTACGACTGCTTGGAGGAAAGCCGATATAATTCAATGATTATCCGGAAAAAAACATTTCTTTTGAAACAAATATGGTGAAAAAGGAACTTTTGACACTTGTCAATCTTAATAAATATCAGAAAAAATATGTTATGAAATGGCAACAAATCGCCAAATAACGGTACTACGGTTACCACTTTATCACTTGATTTTTGTCAAATCGTTGTCCTCTGAAAGTTCACTTAAAATTTTGTTTAGCGTTGTTATTTCTTTTTTAAAATAAAATGAGTGTACTTTAGTCGAATTTTACTCTACTGCACTAGCACGTCTTCGTATATTCAGCTCTAAGACTGGATTGATCTGTCACAATACACTGGCTCCGGCCCTATGATGTATCCAGTAAAATATACTAATGTACACCCATTACCTATACTAAATTTATTAACTTACCGAAAATTTTTGTTATTGATGTGATGATATTTTATTCGCTCACTCTATACAACTGTTCCCTTCAATCCGCTTGTGAATAATTCGCAAGGATTGGTTCCGTGATCTGCATAAGCCCCGTCGTCGTTTAGTTAATTTCCTATTTCGTATTATAATTGGTAGCAGATATTAAAGCCAATTTGCCCGCCCGTTCGTAATCAAAATTCACCCGACTGATCGTAATCAACACGGACCTCTTTTCGAGACGAAAACCTAATTTTGAAGAGTAACGTACTTCAATTAGTGACGGATTAATTGAATAATTTTATATAATTATTAATTAGCTAACGTTGAGTGACGTAATGCATGACCAATTTCCGCTTTATGGTTCGGCTCGATGGTGAATGTGTTTCTAATTAACTTTCATTTCAATAATGGGCATGGGGGCGCTGAAAGCTATTCGCCCATTTAAAACTATTTCAATCATTTTTTTTTAAATAATCCATTTTCTAATACACATATATGTTCGGTCCAAAATATATTTATCCTATAACACCCGTGGTGCCTTTAACTTTGAATATCCTGTAACAAAATCCAGGACGCGTGGTAATTTATTTATTAGTTCTCGAAACGGATGGGCCAAAAAGTAGAATATTTCAGTCAACACTAATTATCGAAAGTTAAGGGCTCTCAAGTAGGTTTAGCGTCGTCCTTCGGAGAAATTTAGCAATATTTTTAACAAGTTCACTTAGACTGTCGGGGCGATGTGTTGAACATATAGTATAAAGAGAAAAATCGATATTTCTAGAACGCGCGAAATGCATTCAAAAGAACACGGAGGAATTCCAAGATATTTAAATAAGTTGTTAAATTGATACTAATTGGAAAGAAATAATAGATCAAATAGCTGGTTTTTAGGCGGATTTTCCAAGCTATAAGAATAGATTAAAAAAGATTGACTAATCCGTCCCGTATTGCTACACGGAGTCACTAGAGGAAGGCTAGGGTTACTTCTAAGTCCTGTTAGTCACAGAATTATTTATATAAATGTAAATTCAGTCCATTAGATAACTAATGGC